AATGTCACACTTTAGAATGACCATCTCATTTAATTTAGGACTCTAGTTCTAGACAAGCAATTAAGAGTAAAAAATGTATGTTTATATGTTCTTCTTTGAAGTAAGGGAGATTGACTAGATTTTAATTTCAGAATGGCAGTCAGCTTTATATTTTATACACATGCACATAAAGACTGTATTTCTTGTCTGTATCTATAATGAATGATTTGTTTTCTTTGTAAGGAAGCACAAAGTGGGTCAATTCAGGAGGTCTGTGATCTTCCCCTGGAAGCCACTGGTGGTCCCTGGACCCCAACACATCCAACAACATTGTGTGTCCATGTTCCAATGTTCTCCTCTACACCTCCCACAGCCTACCTCCCAGTACCTTCACAAGGAAAGGACACATCTGTGAATCTTCTGGCATTATTCCAGTTCCTTACAGCTGTAAAACCACTGAATGGAAAGAAAACAATTATTTCCTAACCTGGGAATCCCCAGATGCTATCCCAAACTGAAGAAGTGAACAGACCTTGAGTTCTGGGGGACTACGGTGCATTAAGGAGCTTGCAGAGAGGAAGACAGTGCTGAGACCTTCAATATCTAGGCTTCACCTTCCTTGTCCTGACTTCTCTGGTATGTGGTCCTGCCCTGACATCAGGTCATGTCTTCCTAGCAGGTTACGCTCACTTGCAACTTTGTCCTCCCAGAAGTTGGTCTCAGTTTAGGGAAAGCCTCCTGCCAGTGTTTTCTAGGCACAGGGACTGGAAGGGTTTCTCTTTCCCCAGTTTGCCCACATAGCACCAGAGACATTCTCCTGTGTGTAAATGTGTGTGGTACTGGAGATTGAACTCAGAGCCTTGTGCTTGCTAGGCAAGTGCTCTACCACTTGAGCCTCACCCCCAGTGAGGATATAGCTATTTTTCAGAAAAGGGTTCTGCATTTTCACCTGTGTCAGATGCATGGACTTCAATCTTCCTGTTTATGCTTCCCAAGTAGCTGAGATGACAGACACACATCACCATGTGTGCCCAGTTTGTTGGGTGAAATGTGGTTTCACTAACTCTTTTGCTTGGGCCAGCCTCGACCTCCCAAGTAGCTGGGATTACAGGCACAGCCACTGTGCCTGGTGTGTGCATGTGTGTGTGTTCCTGGCTTCTGCCTGGGCTGGTCCTGTCCTGGGGCCTATATCAGCACTGGGGAAGTGACTGACATGGTATTGGCTGTTGAGAATCTTGAGGAGCCTGGTGATGGGGGTTGGCCTGCTCTTGGATTTTTCAGTTGGCATCCGGGACATGAGAGAGAAGCAACATGAAGCTGAGGGAAGGAGGTGAAAATGAGAAATGAGGAAAGAGAAATGAACACACTCAACACTCTCTCCTCAGAGGAGCTGACATGTGAATCCAAATACAATCCAAGTTATTTCACATTAATTTTTCTACATTATATAATTTCTCTAGCTACAGGAAGTTCTCACGACATATCAATGAATAATACAAAAATTACTGAGGAGAACCTAATTTAAGAAAATGTCAATTAGCAAAGCTTAGCGGTAATACATGTTATCAACGGTCAGTATTTATACATGATTTGTTACGAAATTACTTTGTACCCAAACATATTCAATTGGTTAATTAAAGCAAATTATTCTGATTATGAAGAACTTGACCATATATAAAATTTTTATACTAAATTAGTCAAGAGAGGTCAAACTGATGTGTGAATAAAATTAGTAAAATTTAAAATAGAATGACAGTTATATGCCCTAGACATTTCAGAAGTAAACTCTAACTCAAAGAAATCAGAATTATTATTTTGACCTTATAGAAAGCATTGTCTCATATTTATAACAGAATTTTCTTTGTGGAACATATCATATATTTAAGAAAATTCAAAGTAAATACATTTCCTCAGAGAAATACCCTCTTTACTCTCTTCCCTCTCTGTTGCAAAGACGGCAATGTCAGCAAAGTTGTGCACGTTAAAATAGTGCATTCTTTATCATTTAAAGAAAAATGTACCTATTTCTTTGGAGGATGAAGGAAATTAAAAGAAATCAAATTCAAATATAATTTATATAAATAACCATTCATAATATCAAAACTATACTCTTTAGTCCTGAAAGGACTTATTTTAAAAATGCCAGTAATTTAAAACATTATAGACAAAAATTTACAGGTGTAGGATGTCATGTGATTGCTGCTTTTTCTTTATTTTAAGAGAAAAGCAAGTAGTTTTTCAAACAATTGCAATGCAATTTTGACTTCCTTTCACTACCTCTTCCAAGGTCTGTCAGTTTTGTGAAAGAGAAACTGCTCATTTTGAATTTGTTCCAAGGATTCATCAGTGAGAATCTATCACATCAGATTTTCAGATGAGAGAAGGAGAGACCAACAAACAGAAAAGTAAACAGCTGGTAGGGGTAGGACCAGAAATTTCTCATAGAAACCCAGGAACACAGGACAAGGGCACACTGAGATCTGATAGAGTTTGTCTACCATACTTTATCACCACCCTGCCCACTGACTTCAGTCCTCAGAGTGCCATCCTATCAGGTGGTTTGCTGTCCTGCGTAATGTTCCAGATAAACGATCTGGAGCTCAGCCAGCCGCCAGGATCCCATAGCTGGCAAGTGGCAGAGTTGAGATTGGATCTGACTTGGTTTCACTCCACCCGTGGCTTCTTCTCAGACTATCACTTCTCCTTAGAAACCCCAAGATTTGGTCCTCCCTGGAGCTCTGCTGAGAAAACTACCTTTCTCTGCTACACCTTGTTTGTGTTCTTTTCCTACTACATACATACTTACTTGGAAGAAAGGAGAAAAACCAAGGACTACCCAACACTGTCTCCTCACCTCAAAATGCACAATAATCTGCAATTCTGCTGTCAGCAGGGTGTGTGGCTGGCAGAATTCTCTACATCTCCCTTCCCCAGCTCTTCCATCCTTTCCAGGAAAGAGTACAGTAAGCCATGGAAGGGCCAGGCAGAGCACAAGTTCACCTCCCCACCACATCCCATCCTTCAACCTCTAAGCACAAAGATCCCAAGAGCTGCCCAGACTCAGCACGTCAAGCCCCTGACACAAATAAGCAACTATTGTGCTGCTCTGTCTACTGCAGCTACACAAGGGCAGAACTGCCTGGCCACCTAAGGACTCTGATTCACTTTGTTCTTGGATGTCGAGGTGCCTTACAAGACTTTACCAAGGTGCTCAACATATTCCTGCAGTAGTCCAGGGATCTTAACACTAAATAAATTACGAAACCAGAAAGAGGAATATGGAAAAAGGGGAGAATGCCCTGGGGTTGCTCTCCAATCTTTGCTTTTAATACAATCCTTTCAAATGGGATAGGAACCAAAGGTATAGACTGCTGGGGCCTGGGAGAATTCTGACCTTTCCACTCTACTTTAAGCAGAGAACAGTAAAATCCAAATCTGCAACTGGAGCGGGAGAGCTACCAAAAGAGGCCTGTCTCTTGATTACCATCTAACTGATAGTGGAAGAAACCAAAGATTAGAATACCCACCACCTACAGACGCTGTGTGGAGCATCTGTGTGCAAAACCTTACTAAATGTGAATGGCAACTCTTCGTGGCAGGGTCTCTTGTTACCCCCACATCACAGATGGGGCTGCCAGGTTTAGAGTGTAGGTAACTAATTGTTCAAGGTTGAGGAGCCTGGCTGGGTTTTGAGCCCTGGAAGACCTCCAAACTCTTAACTGCTGTGCTCTACTGTTTCCTACCAGAACACATCAAGTGAAGGTGTTTCGATTCCAAACCCCCAGGTTGACCAGGCACTTCAATCACTCACAGTCTCACATTAAGACCTCTCCATTTCAGTAGAAAAAGAGTGGGGCTAATCCAGGGATTGGCACAAGTTGGAGAAAGACAGAAACACAGAGAATTCAATTTATAACAGGAAAATGGCTTGAAGGGACTAAATGTAGGACTTGGAGCCAAACAACTTGGCAGATTGCAGCCACATTCAGAGATTTGTGATGACAGGGACAGTCTTTTTTCCACCCTACTTCGAGTTGCCTTTGTAGAACTTTATCTTTTATGTCCAAAGATCAAATAATAAAAGATCGTATTTAATGTGAGCTAGGGGAAATAAACTGGTGGCAATTAAGAGTAAAAATAACCTCTTTGTGGCTGCAGACCACAGGAGTTCCCTAATTTTAAGAGGCACAGGCAAATCACTTAAACAAGGCCTTTTGGGCTGTATTTATCTCATGTTTCCTCTCACACCCACAGTGGTTAAAGTTATAGGCAGCCATAGCTCTTGAACCCATGGAATTGTAGTAAATGGAAGTGCAACAGGCCAAACTCATCAACTCACAAATGCAACCTTGTAGCATGGAAGTCAAATGCAAGCCTCCTTTGGAGCCAGTAGCTTCCTGTGGAGCAAGTTAACAGAATTAGGAAAGGTTGCAGAATCCCTATTGTTCATTAGAGGTCTCCGTGCTTCCAAACTCCAGCCCCATTTCTATTGTCCTCTAACTCTGGACCAGTCTTCTGCTGGCCAAGATCCAAAGAATTCTCTCTCACTTCCTTATTTTCCATATGCAATTTAGGTCTAAGTTAGGCCATGAACTCTTCCTCAGACCTCAGAGGAAGGTGGTCAGAATGACCTGAGATTCCATTTCAGGAAATCACCTCTGCCCCATACTACCATGGTCTAGGCCAGGATTTGTGAAGCCTTCCTGAATCTTAGAGTCAAGCTAAGAACAAACCAGGAAAAAATCCTGGAGTGTGGCCAACTTCCCAAGAAACCTGTAGAAAAACAAAACTACAGAATGGTCTAGAGGAGACCACCTGGAATACTTCCTAGAATTTCTCAATTTAAGATGAAACACAGTAGTCAAGACAAGATTGGTTGCTGAACAGAAAGAAGAGGGTATGTTTACCCCCAAGCTTTGGGGTCTTGTTTTGCATACCAGGAGGTGCTGCACACTTTGTTCCAAGGTCAAGTCTATCCTTGGTCTGTAAATCAAACCAGTGCCCTATAACACTGTACTTACCGATAGAAAGTAGCATAGTCCACTGTTGAATGGCAGGCCTGAAACTCCCAAGATTTGAGCTTTTGGCATTCTCGATGGGCTCGAAGCTTTACCTTCACTGTCCCTTGACACAGCTCGGGCACTGGTTTCCTCTGAGGTCTGTTGCAGAACTCATTGGACTCCACCCTCCAAGATTCAGCAAAGTCATCCACATCAAACTTGAAGTTTCCATCTCCGCCAATTAAGTCATCACGTTTATGTCCATTATAGTTGCCACAAAGACCACACAGCTTGCCTTTGAGATGAGGGGCAGCCATGACCTCTACAAAACTGTCTCCATCCCAGGATATTTCCAAACCTAGAGAAAAGAATCAACCACTCATAAATCCCCTAGTAATCACCAAATAAACACATCCATATATAGTACACTGATCATCGACTTCTAACAAGCAAGGATCTGCCCAAATTATTATGTTACTCTCACCACATTAAATATTGTATAAATTGCATAAATCTCTCACTTGCAGAGACTTAATTTTTTTAATTATATAAATTTGTCCTTAAAATATCTTATGCTTCCCTAATTTAACCCCTTTGTGTAATTACTCCATCACTATACTACTCTAGCATTTATATTTTTGCCTCTTCATAAGCAACTGTCTTAGTCCAAATTGTCCCCTAATTTATTCAATGAATACCACAATGTGATAGTTATTTAATGTCATTTTTGTTTCTTTATCCAAAAATTCTGCATACATAATTATTCCTCCAAGTGTCAAAGTAAATTTTCCAAATTATTTCTTATAATGAGAATATTAAAGCAATAACTAGCTAGGTTCTGAGGGCTGGAGAAGTGCCCAGCCTTCTCTCAAGTAGTAGAGTGCTTGTCTAGCAAGTATGAAGCCCTGAGTTCAAACCCCTGTATTGCAAAAATAAATAAATTATAAAGTACATAAGTTCCAATATATCCTCTTCAAAGGGCAACATTTATATAAATGAAAACATTTGCTCCTTCATTGTTTTATAGTCATTCCTGAAACATGGCACACTGACCAATGGATTCTGGGTTGAGTGGTTGGGAACCCCTTCCATTTGGCCTCCATCGCTGGGATGTTCAAAAGCTTCAACATTTGAGGAGGCATAGGAAGCCACAAGGACATGGGCAAAAGTTTCCCTTAGACCTCCATCATAAGGTCTATACTTCCTTGCTCATCAAGGAAACTATCTTCATACCAGAAGGAAGGGAACATAGACCCTTCTTAGTTTGCTGAACTGACTGAAAGCATGCATATTTCTCCAGAAATGCTGGCCCCTGACTTCCAGGAAACATTCTAACCAATGACCTCTCTGAATGGTGGGATTACTACTACAGGTAGGCAGTCAAGTTATGTTGTCACATGGTACAGATCAGTCTGACTCTAGAAGACAAAGAAGAAACACCCTCAAATCCACTTACACTGTGTGTGAAGATGTTGTCCACAAGAGAAAGGAGAGATCTTTGTGAACAGCTTTTTGAGGTTCAATCCAAAGCAAGTGACAAATTTTTCTAGTTTTTCTTTATATCTTAGGAATGTATTGGAACTTTTCTCCTGGTGATTCTCTGGCAGTGCCTGAGCCACTATGGTAGGAACCCCTGGGAATATCTACAAAAGGTCAGCATGCATTTCTGTCCTGGAACATTTCTTTGATCCCTGTCACTGTCTCCTAAGAGTAGCAACCACAGAGAAAGTTTCTTTTTAACAGAAAGTTTACTCCCTTCTGAATTTTTAAATCTTACCCTCTTGGGTTCCTAACAAAACCAGACTTTCATTTTGCCTGTTCTGAGCCTCTGGTAAGAGAAAAAAAAAAAATTTTCCCAAAAGGCTTTGCCTCTGTTCTTGAAAGATCAAGATAGGTTGATGAGCTAATGTTCAGAAGTCAGGGAATTAGGTGGCAATGGGACAGGAGAAATAGAGGGAGAGAGAGAAGGCACAAGAGAAGTGGGTAGATAGAGTGAAAGACAGAGAAACAATCTTGTTGGAATGTGAAATTAGCATAAATCATTAACATCAGAGTGATGTAAGTAAGATCAGGAAGAAACACTCAGAAGAAAGATTCTAAAGCTAATACTCCTTAACTCTGTACATGGTCTTAGAGGAGAGAAGGCTGGTTGTAGTCAAATAGCTTTCTTGTGACAGAACTTCACAACTGTCATAAGACAGAGTTACTTTAGGGAGCTAATGGCAGAATACACCAGTGATCTAAAACTGGGTTTCTCACAAAAATAAACAGAAAGACCCATCAGGCAAATGGAAAGAACAGAGCATTTGCAGTCCAAGGCAAATGGTAGAAAAGATTTCTTGGTTAGGAGAAGAAACAGGGTTCAGAAAAGCAATTAACCAGAATTGGAAAAAGAAGAAAGAAGGCCATAGGAATGTGTCTCTTGGGAGCAATTTGGTGAAGAGAAGTCAGTGATAGGGTCAGGTAAGGAGAAAAGTGACACATTGTAAGAATACCCATTCATAAGGCTGACTTCTATGAAGACCTCTGTGAGAACACAGTGTCAACTGTGGCAACCACAACTTTCATATAAAATAGTTTCCATTTCTTTATGCCCCACCATTTAACATGTTATCTGCACAAAATATGTACTCAATAAGTGAATGAATTACCCTTGTAATGTTGGTGCATCAGATCTGCAAAGCCAAAAAAAATTGCAAGTTTCATGCTGGTTAAGACACTGAAATAACCATATTGAAAGAAAACAGGCAAACTATAAAATGATTTGTAATAACACTCTCCAAGGTATAGAAGAAACTTGACCTCAAAGCAAGAGAAATGAGGGAAGAAAATCAATTCCATACAAAGTCTAACTTTTAGAGAATAATTCCAAAGATTTTCCATGTTGCAAAATTTTCCAAACTACAAATCTCTTTCCTAGACAGCAAGCAAATACTTTTCTTCCAAGTGCCACAAACAGTCAAGAATTTACACCCAAAGTAGCTCCAGTGTCATTACTAAGAGCGATAAAATAAATTTGAAACTTTGGGCAACTGAATTCCTGGGAATTCAACTCACAGTGAGTAAGCCAATCACTGTGTTCTTTCTCGACAGTGGACTGGTGGCCCACACATACTTGGAAAGATGCAGACCTGCTGTGTTTTCAGTAAACTCTTCTCCACATGACATCTCATTCATAAAACATGGTCCCCAAAGTAAGAGAATAATTTGTAATTCACTCTCTATTCTTCATCCTTCTTTGTTATTACTATATTAAGAGGATTTTCACTGTCCAAAGCCAGGCTTCATATTGGGGAGAGATGACTTACTCTACTCCAGATGCCTTTGCCTCTTGCTGTATCACTTACATATGTGTTTGCATGAATACTTTTACCCTCCACAAGAGTAAAATCCATGCAAAGTCGATTACAGTCGTGAAAGGCAAAAACCTAATAAGCTGTAATTGAGGGAATTGCTCTTCTAAACAATATCTTAAATAGGCATCTTATGAGAGGAAAGAGTCTTGGGTGTGTTTGAGGCTGGGCACAGTCCTTTCTGCAGCTGGGATGAGTTTCCCAATCCTCTGCATGAGAGACTGAGTAGAAATAACTGGCAGCATCGGAAAGCTGGAGCTGAAGCACATGTGCCATCTGGGGATGTGAGCAGCAACCACACTCCTTCCACTGTAGGCAGGGCTGCCAATTTTCCCTTCTCCAACTTGTTCTTCACCCTTCAAATGTGTAACCTGCCTCCAGACCACTTGCTTGCATTGTTGTTGTTTAATTGTTCTTTCATTTTGTGAATATTGTTCTTTGTTTTGTATTATTTGGGTTTTGGTCATTGATGCTTTTGCTGTTGTCCACTTAAAGAGGAGAAGAGGTGCAAAATCAATAGATAGACCATAGTAATGTGCAAAACATGGGTTATTTTTCTGTTCAGATTTTATACCAAAAGATGGAGGTGGGATATATACTCTGGGTTCAAGAAAAACAGAGCTCTACCAAAACTCAAATAAAAAGCCAAACTCCTAAGTCTGAGCTAATGCTTTCAAGTGGACCTGAGGTAAGTCTTTCAGGTACAGTTGATGAAGAAAACAGATGGTAGAAAGGAAATGTATATTAAAATTATGTGCTCAATACTGAGAGTTGGGCAGAGCATGGAATGAGGGTGGGCAATGCTTAACCTACTGAGCACTGTCCCAGGTCAGTTGTTAGCAGGTAAACAGCTACAACCTAATTCTACCCAACCTACATGGCCACCTGTGCTGTTCTGCCAGATTCTGTCCTGAGTGCTGAGTTCATAAACTCCAGGGAAAAAGAGCCTTCCTCCTCTTCGCTCCCTCTCCAGCTGCAGGCTTGAGCAAAGCTGCTGTTTTGAAGACAGTGCCCTTTGATCACATGTGCTTACAAAATGAAACTAACTCTATGGAAGAACACTCAAAGGAAATACCCTGGTATTTCAAATAGACAATCAATAGGCGATAAAAAGAAAATATCCCTAAGGGATAGTTCAAACTGAGATGGCTAGACCAGGCTGGAAACATAATTGTCCAGAAATTCAGTTGTTATTTCATTTAAAAGCATGAGTGCAAAGTTAAGTTTAGTGCCTAGAGGAATGCACTTTTCTTGCTAGGAAGCAGAAGGCTTATGTGATTTGTGTGCTTCAGAAAATTGTTCAGCTGGGTGTTAAAAGTGCTATAAAAATTACTTGCATCATGGAAAGAGAGATGGAAAAATAAAAGAAATTGTAAAACTGAGTCCAAGGTCTAGAATGGTTAAATTCACTAATCTAATTATGGTATTTACGATCTATTATTTTCTTAGCAGCTTCGTCCTTTTGCTTATTTTTATGACGTGGAACCCTTACAAAGAACACACTTATTCCATAAGGTTTTGCCAGCTGTCCATGGAAGATATCAAACTTCGTAGGCTGCTAGCATCTTCAAGTACCCAGGATTCTTTTGAGAACTAGGCTGTGGTTGACTAATAACTTCCATAACAGTAGAATCCACTGTGCTCAGCTGACTTGCGCACAGATAGGCAAGGTGCTTCTAATTACTTCCGTGTAATAATAGGTCATCTTGGGTATGCTTCACAGGGAGACAAAAACTGTTGCTTCCTTAAAGGAATGAGCTGGAGTCTGCATTTGCAGAGTGGCATATCTTTAGGTACAAGAAGAAGTATATGAGTTTTCCAAGCAGGACTAATTATCCTTCTAGGATGAGCAGAACTCTTCACCTTTCTGAAGTGAACGTCCCAATACATTAATACTTAGCAATGTCTCGTTGCAATGAGGATGTACTCACAAACTAAAAGCTCCCAAGACTTCACCTTGGCTTCCTGCCTTTGTTTAGCTAAGCTGAAATGCCACAGGCTCAGATCAATTTATTAAAATATATTTTGGCTTGAAGTAAAACAATTACCAAGGTTTTGAAGGTACAGCAAAAATGGTCTCTAAGACCCTCAAAAGTGCTTGTTGTATTAAATGTTTCCCTTTTGACTATATATTTCCTAAAGAAACTGGAACTCAGCTGGTGCTTTTATACTGTTAAACTAGCATCAATCAGAAAACAAGAATGCTGACATTCTTTAAGTATGATGCTTAAAGAAATAGAGCACACCATATGACATGTGGTGTCATATCCAACAGATACGTCTTAGATGAAGGAGGCAGGCGAGGAACTACACATAATGCAATAAAATGTGCCAATGAGTTGAGCTCATTCTCTGGGATTGATAAGCAGGAGCTGAAATTCACTTCTAAAATGATTTTTCTTAGGTAGCACTTTACACACAAGGATTGAAGCCTAGTGGACAGCTAGCAGCCATTAACAGGTTGGCGGAGGAGGAGGGTGTCTGCCCACAGAGTGGAAATGCAAAGTCCAATGGGCTTAGTGCTCCATGGGATGCAGAGAAAGGGCCTCAACCACCAGTTCAAAGTGGCCAAGGCCAAGCTAAGAGATGTCCTCTCAAAGCCAGCCTCCTAAGTGCTCCCTAGGAGAAGACAGTGGTTCTGGCCCATCAACTCAGAGAGCAACTTTCTCCAGTATCAAAGTGCACACATGTGGTTCCTGTGGGATCAGGCTACCCTAGGTGTGAGGCAGGAGTGTGCAATAACAGGCATTTCTGCTGTGGACATTTGCTTTTCTTTTGAACACCACTGACACTGAGCTCCCTCGCATATCCCTCACTCCCCCCGCCCCCCGGTTTTTTTTTGGACAAATGCTAACAAGGAAACCCTCTTTCTCACAGATGTGAAACTGCACATAAGTGGCTGAGCTGAGAAAGACACTGACAGTTTCAAGCTGGATTTCAGTTTCCTAAAATAGCAATAAAGCTGTGGCAAGATTATTTGGAGGGTCCCACCGCTCCTTTTAGAAAAAGAATGGAAAGGCTCTGAATGTGAGAGGTGGGAAGACTGGTATGACTGGCCACCAATTGCAAGGCTCCACGTGGTGCAAATGTCCCTGGCTATTTCTTGGCATCTTCACGAGGTGCCTTCTCCCTAGAGCAGGGAGGTGACAAGGCCACAACTGGATGCTCAGGAGGCCACAGGGTCCCCTACGCAGAAGAGAAGGGACACTCCGACCAGGTGGTGAGGTAGAGCAAAGGGTGGGAGGGCGGCCATGCAAGGCCCACCTGCTCTGGTGGTGACTTTCAGGAGGTAGCCGTCCAGGTCGATGTGGAAGTGCGGCGCGTGGCAGGGGAGCGCGATGCGCGAGCCGTTCCAGCGCACGGTGAGGTGCTGCTGGAGGCTCACCGTGCTCTCGCCCAGTACCAGCTCCACCGACTTGGTCCACGAGAAGGAGCGGGTCCGCCGGGCATCGTTCTTCACCAGCACCTGAAAGGGTGAGGCAAGGGAGGAGCAGTCTTTCGTCAAAACGTACTGACATGTTCCCTGAAAGTTAAATGTGCGTCCGTCAAAAGTGTTGTAGTGAGGATCTCCGAATACCGTGCAGACGCCGGGCTCTGCGGATGAGTGAGAGATAAAAGCAGGGTCACAACCAAGCCAAGGATTCAAAGGGAAACCAGGGGTCCCTGCAATAAACTTGGAAGGGGCTTGCCTGTCAGCTAAGGCGGGATCTTTAGTAGAGATGCACTTGGGTAAATCAACTCAAAAAGAAAAGTTGGGTTGTTTCTTAAAGGTTTACTCACATGTTTCTGATAGTTTTATATTTAAAAGTTATTTCTGACATCTCTGAATTTCAAAGGCATCTCTATTTTGCAGCCTGGACATTCGTCCATGGATGAAGAAAATGAATTAAGACAATTAATTCATGGCCTTAATTCATAACCCACATTATACATGAACAAACTAGGTACATAAATAAATAAGCAGCAAAATAAATGACACCATGTGGACAAGTCTTGATATTGCTTTCATTTAACTCAAAAAAATTACAAGCATGCCATTATAAATGTTACTCGTAGTCTTAAGGAAAATTGCAATATTCAACACTGGGGTGTTTACTTAGAACAAATAAATACAATTGCCGAACAGATCTGTGTTGATAACAAGTTACTGATTAAGTTACTATTTACAGATAGTGTTTATGTTTTCTAGAAATGCAAGGCTCTTACATTTTGATCTATGTACCAAAATCTAGTGATAGATAAAAAGTAAATCACAAAACTCACCATTGAATACATTTTAGAAATTCTGACAAGTTCAACAATCCAAAATACCATTAGCTCAAATATTTATGAGATCAAGGTAAAGCTTTGCACTTTGGGGCATCTCAAAGGTATAATAGAGGGCTGGTGGAGTGGCTAAGTGGTAAAACGCCTGCCTAGAAAGCGTGAGGCCCTGAGTTCAAACCCCAATGCCATAAAAAAAAAAAAAAAGAAAAGAAAAGAAAGAATGAAAGAAAAAGGATGTAATAGAAAACTAAATATTGACTCCTTTAAAAATAAAAAAAACCTTGACATTGGTTTGTTCTCTGAAGCATGGACTGACTACCAGGAAATGAGGAAATTATTTAGGGAGATTAGCCCAAATAATGAAAGAAATGCAATAAAAAGAGATTTCAACCAGGCATGGCTGCCTGTAATGTCAGCACTCAGGAGGCTGAGACAAGAGGATCTCAAGTTTGAATTCAGCCTAGGCTACATGGTGAGACCTGTCATCCCAGGTACACAGGAGGTTGAGATCAGGAGGATCACAGTTCCAGGCCAGCCCAAGGGAAAAATTTAGGAGACTCCATCTCAAACAATAGCTGGATGGGTGAAGTGATGTATGCCTGTCATCCCAGCTACTTGGGAGGCTGAGATCAAGAGAATTGTGGTTTCAAGGAGGCCTAGGCAAAAAAGTTCACAGGACCCATCTCTTAACAGAGAAAAGCTGGGTGTGGTGGTGCATACCTGTCATCCCAGCTATGATGGTAAGTATAAAATAGAATTATCCCAGCTATGATGGTAAGTATGAAATAGAATTATTGCAGTCTGGTTATAACCAGAACAAAAAGGGCTGGACGTATGGCTCATGCATTAAAGCAGCTGCCTAAGAAGCAGGAAGCCCTGAGTTCAAGTCCCAGTACCACTGGAGTGGTTACCACTAGAACAATAATCAAACCAAGAATAATAACCAGAATAAAATACCAGGTCTAAGAATATGAGAATGTCATCTAAGTAACTTCCCTGACTATCTAAGGGAAGGATTGTATCCAGACAGAGGAAAAATGTGCCAGCTGATCTGAAAGGACGAATGGAATACCAATAAAAACATTTGCTTTTAATTTCTATGGTGTTTGAAAAGTAATGTTGTTTTATGTTGTGATATATTATTTCATCTCATACATCTATGTAACTCCATACATATCACATGTATTTGGAATCTTCTAAATTATTTGTTCTAGTTAGTTTTCCTTGTCAGTATGTGAAAGTGGCTCTGAAATAGGACCAGGAACATGGTATGGTGCTCCCTGAGTTCAAATCCGGGAGGGGCGTGGTGGGGGAAAGAGAAGAAAGAGAAGGAGGAGGAGGAGATAGAAGAAGAAGAAAGAGGAGGAGGAGGAGGAAAAAGAGAAGAGAAGGAAAAAGAAAGAAAGAAAGGGAGTGAGGGAATGAAGGAAGGAGGGAGAGAAGGAAGGGAGGAGGGAGGGAGGGGAGAGTTTGGGTATACTGGAGAGTTTGAATGGATAACTATGTTCAAGAATATATAGAATACACTACAGCAAGAAGATAGAAGTAGCAGGTTTGGCAGTAATATTTGAATTCAACCTCCATTTCTGTTTCTTTCTTATTGACCCAGTTTTACCATTTGTTGCTCCATGTTGCACACAGCCCCCACCTTCCCGTATCCCTATCTTTCTAACTAGTGTCCCTAACTGAACTTCTTCACAGGGCCTTTTCCTGTCCTTTCTTCATGGGGTCACTTCCAAAATTATTCTCTATCACACATTTCCTCACGGTCTGACAAATGGCATCCATCCCTGGCATGAAATTGTTGTTTTGGGGTTAATAGAGTACAAGGCAGTTCTCTGAGAAGCTCCAAGCAGCACTGAGAATGACAATTCAGAAAAGGACTGGACATTACCTGACTACCACATCCCAAAGATGGGTTTCTCGGGTTCTTAACTCCACCTACTCAGCAAGAAAGCCTAGAAACCAAACAAGGCTTTTGAGATGCTGAGCTTCTAACACATAGACCTTAACTTGAAAAAGCCAAACCACTTCCCGGGCACTGCGATTGTATTCCTGAGTGTGTCCTCTCCCAGCTGTGAGGTGGCATGGGGAATGCCATACTGGCTGCCACACACATCGTGCTGGGGCAGTCTTCTCTGTGCACCAAAGACAACACACAGTTTTTCTCCACGTCTTGGCCTCAATTGCATCAAAATTATCATTAATAAAAATAAGAACAGTTAACATTTGCCAAGAAGTCACTACCTACGTTAGCACTCTTCTACATGTGGAAGGTGGCTACATCATCAGGAGGTAGGTATTCAGATGGACTCCTAATATAAACAAACAGCTAAGCACTTTGTAGCGAATCCCTAAATGAGCCACAGTAGATTTTTGGTACCCTAAGACTATGGTTCCAAGGAGACCATCACTGAGGAAAAACTGTGGATGCAAGGGACGGATAGAGCTCAGTGCAGTATTGTGGACACTTGGCTCATTTTTCTCACAACACTGCCCAGCTTCCACTAAAGACGTTAGGCTTTTCAAAAGATCTAAAATTTTCATTTAAATTAATCACGCTAACTTTTACTTTGCTCTTGGAACACCACTTGCTTTTTGCGGAGGCAGATTTTTGCAAAATTAAGGGCAAGGAAATACTCAGAAGATTACACGATTTCAACACAACTGAGAATAACAGGGAACTGACTGAGAGCTTCCCTGCATCCACCGAGCTCAGTAGTGCATGTGGGAATTTAAAAAGTTTTGGTTTTGAAATTTCTTCTGATTTTTTTAATTTATGGCCACACTTGGTCAAAACTACATATAATAAGTCTGCAAATAAGAGGGCTTACTGTATTGTCCTGTCATTAAAAAATGAAGAATCTTCATGAATTCTTCACTGAAATAATATGTTTCAACATAAAATGTTTATGATGTGTTCAGTGAAAAACAGGCAACAGAATTCTATTTTATTCTAGTCTAAGATAATCTTAACAATCTTAAATACACATACACACACACAAAGTTATGAACACTGGCTATATTTGACGGTAGAACCATGAATAATGTTTTTTTCTTCTTTCTTCCTTATTTTTTTAATGGTCATGTTTTGCTGTCTTGTTTTGTTTTTGATAGTCAAAATGTGGATAATGGTAGATAAGGCCAATAATGGCAAACAGCAAATCCTCAAAGAAGCAACGGAAAGTCAAGTGCCCTGAGTTGCCTTGGGGAAGCCTGTGCTTGCTCATAGCTGGGTGGGAAGCAATGAAGGATGTCCAGGGAGACTCAGGCAAGGGAGATCATGTGTGAGCAGAGCTGTCAGGAGAGATATTTTCCAAGAGTCTGACTTATGGAAGAGAAGGGTTTGGAAATCAAGATGATTTTTCTGTTTGACAGCAATATAGAAGAGGCCAACAAAATTTCATGACTATGAGGATGTTTGAGAATTATGTGTTGCATTTGGGGACATTTGCATCATGAGCTGAAATGATTTTGAAACGCTGGCCGGTTTTCCTGGCACCTCCAGATCCCCACACCAGATCCTGCAGGAGCAGTGAACACGTGCACTGGAGAACATCCGAAGTGAGAATCTGAGGGTCCTGAAACCTGCCTGGCTGAGAAGGAAATGGCCCAGAGAGCACGTGGGGAACAAAGATGAACAGTGTATCCTTGCCGAATTGTTTTTCCTGCAGACCCAGTGAAACAAGCTGTGGTCCAAGATGTCCAGATGTCCGGCCATACTCTTCTGGAAAGCTTGGCCCCATACTTAGGGAGATGGAGGGAAGAGCTGTATAAGCAGACCATCCTAAAACTAGCCTGTGCCTAACCCGTGGATGCAGAGAAACATGCCAGTTTCCGCCTGCGGCACATGTTTCATAGTCCTGAAGTCAAATAATTATCATCTCATTTTGTTTTGGTTTGCTTTCAACATATGTATACAAATGCATATGCATGTGGGGAAAAAAGCGATCAAGGTGCATAAATTCAAATATTAAATGTGTGTTTTTCTCCTAGGTATGGAATGATGTGTGACATTTCTTCACCTCTTTGTGTTGTGTTAATACTTACACTTACATTTCATTGTTTACAATGACTATGTATACTTTTGAAATAATATTGACTTTAAAAAGTTAAAAATTGTGGAATAAGACACATCACTTTAATGTGATAAGATCGCTGCCTCCAAAAATATAGTTCCAGTGCTTTTCTCTTAACTGAATCGAGTGTGTTTACTTTATCATGAATATATGTATTCTAATGAAATGTTTTTCTTCTGAAGGCAATGATTATTCTCAAAACATCCGTCAAAGAAAATTAAGGAGAAATTATTCAATGTCATGTTATAA